TGATTTCTGGGCTGAGTAATATCCCACTCTACATAAGTACCACATCTCTTTTATCCATTTATTCCTTCCAGGGACATTTAGGTTATATCCAAGTCGAGGCTCTTTTAAACAGACAGGCGGTAAACGTTGGGGTGCAAGTGTCCTGTCGATTTTTGTTTTTCCCAAGATATACGCCCATGAGTGCAAGTGCCCTATGCTCTGTAGCTCATTTTTTAGTAAACACAATACACTTCTCCAGAGTGGCCGTTGGCAATTTACATTTCCACTATCAGGCTCATAGGGCTCCCTTTTCTCCTCGCCCTGTCCTGCATTTCTGGTGTTTACACTTTATGAGGATGGCTCTTCTGACTGATGCGAAGTGATACCTTTTGTAGTATTGATTTCCAGTGCCCACCTGTTTGGTTGGCTAAAAAGGGTGTATGCCCTTTTCTTGAGTATATTCAGAAAAAACGCATACGCCCTTTTTGGCCAACTGCATCGCTGGCGATGTTCAGCCCCTTTTCTTGTGCTTTAATGGCGAGTCCTTTCTACCTCTTCAAATCCCTTTCCTGCCATTCTCCCTTGCTTACAAGTCCTTTTCGGTGACTTACCTCAAGACATTTTTCAACGATAGATATTTTCAGCTCTTCAGTTTCGTGAATTTCAGTGCCCCTGAGTTCCATTTTTCAACTTGTGTTTTTGGGAACTGGCCACAAAACAGCAGGATTTCCTCAAGCCCTATTCTGTTTCCGTGGGTAATCTTAGCCTTTGGTCAATACGTCTTCCTGATTGGAAATTAGAGTGACATGTGCCTGTCCGAACACCTAGGACTTGTCTCTCATTGTTTCTCATCCTTCCGCTTCATCCTCTGGACAAATTCCAAACTGTGCGCAACAGGATGTTGACGGTGCTGACATCCCCAAGTGGGGGGATTGTTAGGAAAGACGCTGGAGGGGTGAACCCGAGCAGCAGGAGGTGAGGAGATGAGGTGCCTGTTCCAAACTCTTCCCGATCAAACGGTGTACCTCTGGGTGTAACAGGCATGTTTGAGCTGTAGGAAGGGTCCTGTGCATGTAAGGAGAGCACCAGGGATTTTTCCAAATCAGTGTCTCCCCGAACCCCAAACTGGGGAATTTTTAAGCTACGGCTACACGTATGTTCATTAAGGGCCTTGGGCAGTAGGCAGAGTCCGAACATTAGATGATTGAAGTCTAAAGGGTCAGAAGCGCTCACCATCGGTGTCCCTTAGGTTACATTTCATCTGTCATTGATAGATGATGTCAATAAAAATATCTATTCTTTTTCAGATTATTTCCCCTTATAGGTTATTGCAAACTATTGAGTGTAGTTCCCTGTGCTATACAGTAGGCCCTTGTTGATTATCCATTTTCTGCATAGCATTGTGTATGTGTTAATCCAAAACTGTTAATTCATCCCTCCTCCCACCTTTCCCCTTTGGTAATAATAAGTTATAAGATTTTATACTTCTCAGAAATGGGGGAGCTGAAAGAGAGGTATCGTTTTAAATGGAAAAGCATTCGAAACAAGATTGAAGCTTCAGCCAAGATTATTAGATGTACATCCTTGGAAAGAAATCACTTCATTTCTCTAATGTTGAACTGACAAATAAGACAAACCACTTCACTGAACTTGCTTATAATAAAGTGATGGAAATATCAAATGGAAGTGGTAGAAACATCTTATTTTACCCGAGCCTTATACACTGCTCTATGTTAATTACAGTTTGGCTCACACATTTGTCGATTGAAGTTACAATGTTCTCAATTTCTGTTACTGATCCTCCAGAGTGGGCCCCAACAAGTGTCCCCCTGCTCAGTGTCATTGGAGCCAACAGAACGAGACTGACTTTCGTTCAGAAGCAAAGGAAACTTTCTATTTTGATAAGAGAATGGAGAGGTGAGAGCGTGCGCTCCCCCGCGGGCTGTGGGCCCGGCTGCTGTGTAGGGATCCCGTCAGCGTCAGCGGGAGGGAGGGGGCGGAGCTCTTGAGGGCCCTGTTGGCTGGAGCTCAGGCTCTATGTCGCGGAGTCTGCAGGGGCCCCACGAGCTGAGGTGTCGACCCAGCCATTCTGCAGTAGGAAATCGGGTCTGAAGTGCCGGGTGTGGGACCTCTGCATGCGGAACCCTAGGAGCACGTGAAATTAGACAAAGCACAAAGGAAAAAAAGGTTAGACTTTATTGCCCAGATTCTATTTTTACCTCCCAGGATATTTTAATCGGCATTGCCGGTGACAAACTCCTCCTCTGACTTTTGTCCCGTTCCTCATTCTAGGGCCGCTGAGGATGCAGACCCCTCTTCTGAAAATGCTTCGTTCTGAGTTGGGAGTCCTCTTACCCGGGGGGGGGAGGGGCAGAACTTCTCCCCAGCAGCCTCCAGGTGAGGTTGATTGTCCCCAGGTCTCCTGCCTCACTTCTCGTCCGCCTGAGCACCAGCATTGGAAGTGTTATAGATTCTAATGTCCTTTAAGGGTCCCGGAAAGAGATGCGCAGAGACGCTGGGGGGGCCGGTTTTACCCCGCCCCACATTTGTTCGGCCACCTTAGGCTGACGGTTTCTGCCAGCCTAGATGCTCTGACCAGTAGTCTGCGCTTTCTTCAATTAGGTTCCATGAATTAACGTGCAAACAGCACCAGGTGTCAGAGCCCTGCCCGCTCACCTCCCAGACAGTCCAGGGTCGGTGGTGGTCCAGGACCATGACGGCCACTGAGTCAACGGTCTTTTGAAGTAGCCAGGAGTCCAGCCAGTCTCATTGGCCGCCGTCACCGCGGTGTCTGTAGGCTTTTCTATGGTGACAGTGTGATATACGGTTCCCCTGCCAAGCTTATTAGCTCACCTTTGTGTGCAGTAAGTCCTGCAAGCAGTAGTCTGCTCTTTTGGGGCACACTCTTGTTGTTTTCTGAGAGAAACTCCAGGTCAAGTGATGGTCACACGAGTCGTCGTGGGGGCCCATTGCCCCCGGTTGTCTCTCTGGAGGTTGTAGTTGGAGGGCCTCCTCACTTGAGGTCAGTGTGCCCACGGAGCGATCCCTGCAACTTCAGGGCATGGTGGGTGGTTAGGATCACCACGTGGGGTCCTTTTCCCTTAGGAGGGAGCTGGCCTTGTGGGCTGCTGATTTCCAGGTTTTTAGATACCACCAGTATCCTGGCCGGATGGGGCAGTGGGCCAAGCCCTTGGTGACCGAAGTTTATCCTACCTGGAGGGCATTCTTGTGTTGTTCCATTTCAAGTGGTCCCAGTTTTTGCACTAATACTCCAAGGGCGATTCTGCTTCTACGGGGAATGTAAAGGTCAAAGGGTTTAGCTAAATTAGGGAGTTCCAGGCCAAGAGTCTGAATTGACTGCTCTTTCCATTTTTGAAAGGCCACTTCTGGATTCTATTCGAAAGGATCATCATCTTTTCCTGTCAATGTTTCATATAGAGGCCCAGGTATTAGACTGTAGTTAGGGATCCCGATGCAGCAAACCCCAGCCTCCCCAGGAACCCTTAAGCTGTCTTCTAGTTTTAGAAGGTGTAAGGCTGCAAATGGCTTCTTCCCTTTCCTGGGATCGGCTTCTCCGACCTTCTGTGAGAATGAAGCCCAGGGAGGTCACCTTAGTCTGTGATATTTGCACTTTTTTCTTGGACACCTTGTATCCTTTATTGGCTAGGTAGTTCGGAGGCCTCCTTAGTAGGGCTGGCGATCAGAATGTCCTCTGCATCTTGAAGGAGGGTTCCCTTTTCCAGAGGTAGAACTTTTAGGTCTTTAGCTAATGTTTCCCCAAGGATGGTGTGGGAATTTTTGAACCCATGGGGCAGGACGGCCCAGCAGTATTGTTTTTGTTGTATGTTGAGTCCTGCCACTCACAAGCCAAAATTTCTTGTGACTCTGGGACTAATGGAATACAGAAGAAGGCATCATTGAAGTCTAATACAGAATACCATATCCTGGTGGATGGTAGAATGACCAGCAGGGTGTAGGAATTAGGAACTATTGGATGTTTATCCTCAGTGGCTTCACTGACTGTCCGGACATTCTTTACCAGGTCCCCAGCAGCCCACAGGGCTCTCGTGGTCAGGCCAATCCCAGGATATGGATCTCACCTGGGCAGGATCCCCCCATCCCCCCGCAGCCCATGGGGCTCTCGTGGTCAGGCTGCTCCCAGGATATGGAACACACCTGGGCATGTCCCTAGCAGCCAACGGGCTCTCGTGGTCACGCCCCTCCCAGGATATGAAGCTCACCTGGGCAGTTCCCCAGCAGCCCATGGGGCTCTCGTGGTCAGGCCCTTCCCAGGATACGGAGCTCCCTGGGCAGGTACCCCGGCAGGGCTGGGCACAGAGAAACCATGCACATAGCCCTCATTGCAGAGCACCTCCAGCACACCTGTCGTTCAGAGCTGACACAGAGCACCTCAGAGGAGGACTAGAACGAACAGCAGCTCCGACAGGTCTGTGACCCTGGGTGTCACTCTGTGCGTCCTCCCTCCACCTGTCTTCCAGAGACTTTCACTGCAGCCGGGGCACCAGGCCTCTGTCTCCACCCCCCCCACCCCTCCTCTCCCTGACTCCTGGGTTCCTGTCATTAGGAGAGGGTCTTCTTGAAGTTGTCTCCCACTCATGGGCCAGGTAAAATTATTAGAAAACAAGCCAGAGCTGCAGCCTTCTGTCTATTCTGACTCTCAGGAGCTCACACCTGTTCCTTGGACCTGGCCGGTTCAGCAAGGTCCATTTTCTGCAACTGTGAGCCCCTGAGGGGTGAGGATTGGCTGACCTGGGCAGCCTGACCCTGCCGGCCTGCCCTCCCCAGGTGTGCCTGGGTTGAGGTCAATATAAACACCGCTCCAGGCAGCAAGAGCCCCCGCAGCTGTGCGTGACGCCATATTCTCTGCCCCTTCAGCAGTTTCGGGGCTGGGCTGGTGTGAGGGAGTGAGGGGCCACGGCTCTGTGGGTGGTCCGGTGTGAGTCGCGCTCTGTTGGACTTTCTGCAGGAGTTGCCGGGCTGCCACCTGCTAAAGAAGAGGATGTGTCACCCATACCTGTCGCTGGAATTTCTCCCCGGGCAGAGGTGAGGAAGGAAAAAAGCAGTGGGGGCCGGGACAGGAAGGGTATCTCAGGGAGGGAAATGGAAAGCTTCCAGAAGAGCGCCCGGGCCCAGGACCATCCTGGCTGGCCTGCAGGCACCAAGTCGGCCGGCGTGCTGTCGCTGGTGTGGCTCCACAGCCCTTCCTCTAGGCTTTCAAGTCCTTGTACATATTCAGGTGTTTTACCTGGGAGGGGTGGGAACAGTTTACCAGCAGCTGGCCTGGGGCTCAGCTGACGTTTCCCCACAGATGCCTCAGGACGGTCCCCCAGCTTCGCAACGAGGACGCTCCTTGCGGGGGTGCTGCTGGCTGCATGGGAGACGATTCCCCACCTCTGATCAACTTCAGAATTGTTTACCACTGGAGCAAGTGCCCTGATAGTGTTTTGCTCTGTATAACTGGTGGGTTCTGTTTTTTCTTTTTAGGTTCAAGGTAGATTTTATTCCTCTGTTTTGTATTTATAGATATAAGCATGGAAATAATTCATTCATATAAATACATCTGTGTGAAGGGAAGAACTTTTTATCTGTTTTATTTTTTTTAAATTTTCAATTTTATTTATTTATTTATACAGCAGGTTCTTACTGGTTATCTGTTTTATACATGTAAATGTATACATGTCAATCCCAATCTCCCAATTCATCCCACCCCACCCCCCCACAGCTTTCCTCCCTTGGTGTCCATACGTTTTTTCTCTACATCTGTGTCTCTGTTTTTGCCCTGCAAACTGATTCATCTGTACCATTTTTCTAGGTTCCACATATATGCATTAATATACAGTATTTGTTTTTCTCTTTCTGACTTCACTCTGTATGACAGTCTCTAGGTCCATCGACGTCTCTACAAATGACCCAATTTCATTCCTTTCTATGGCTGAGTAATATTCTGTTTTATATATGTACCACATCTTTATCCATTCATCTGTCGGTGGGCATTTAGGTTGCTTGCAATACCTGGCTATTGTAAATAGTGCTGCAATGAACATTGTGGTGAATGTGTCTTTTTGATTTATGGTTTTCTCTGGGTATATGCCCAGTAGTGGATTGCTGGATCATATGGTAATTCTATTTTTAGTTTTTTAAGGATCCTCCATACTGTTCTCCATAGTGACTGTATTAATTTACATTCCCACCAATAGTGGAAGAGGGTTCCTTTTCTCCACACCCTCTCCAGCATTTGTTGTTTGTAGATTTTCTGATGATGCCCATTCTAACAGGTGTGAGGTGATACCTCATTGTAGTTTTGATTTGAATTTCTCTAATAATTAGTGATGTTGAGCAGCTTTTCATGTGCTTCTTGGCCATCTCTATGTCTTCTTGGAAGAAATGTCTGTTTAGATCTTCTTCCCATTTTTGTATTGGGTTGTTTGTGTTTTTAATATTGCACTGCATGAGCTGTTTATATATATTGGAGATTAATCCTTTGTCCATTGATTCGTTTGCAAATATTTTCTCCCATGTCTTTTCGTCTTGTTTGTAGTTTCTTTGCTTTGCAAAAGCTTTTACATTTCATTAGGTCCCATTTGTTTATTTTTCTTTTTTATTGCATTACTCTAGGAGGTGGATCAAAAAAGATCTTGCTGTGATTTATGTCAGAGTATTCTTCCTATGTTTTCCTCTAAGAGTTTTATACTGCCCGGTCTTACATTAAGGCCTCTAATCCATTTTGAACTTATTTTTGTGTATGGTGTTAGAGAGTGTTCTAATTTCATTCTGTTACATGTAGCTGTCCATTTTTCCCAGCACCGCTGATTGAAGAGACTGTCATTTCTCCATTGTATAGTCTTGCCTCCTTTGTCATAGATTAGTTGACCATAGGTGTTTAGGTTTATCTCTGGGCTTGCTTTTTTTGTTTTTCCTTTTACACCTTTATTGTAGTATAATTGTTTTACAGTGGAGTGTTAGTTTCTGCTGTATAACAAAGTGAATCAGCTATACATATTATATCACCATATCCCCTCCCTCTTGCATCTCCCTCCCACCCTCCGTATCCCACCCCTTTAGGTGGTCACAAAGCACTGAGCTGATCTCCCTGTGCTATGTGGCTGCTTCCCAGTAGCTATTGATGTTACATTTGGTAATGTATGTATGTCCATGCCACTCTCACATTTCATTCCAGCTTACCCTTCCCCTCCCCATGTCCTCAAGTCCTTTCTCTACGTATGTGTCCTTAATCCTGTCCTTCCCCTAGGTTCTTCATAAACTTATTTTTCTTTTGATTCCATATATCTCTGTTAGCATATGGTATTTGTTTTTCTCTTTCTGACTTACTTCACTGTGTAGGACTGACTCTAAGTCCATCCAGGTCACTACAAATAACTCAGTTTTGTTTCTTTTTATGGCTGACTCCATTTGGAACATTATGGAGTGTTCTAATTTCATTCTTTTACGTGTAGCTGTCCAATTTTCCCAGCACCACTTACTGAAGAGACTGTCTTTTCTCCATTGTATATCCTTGCCTCCTTTGTCATAGATGAGTTAGCCATAGGTACATAGGTTTATCTCTGGGCTTTCTATCCTGTTCCATTGATCTATATTTCTGTTTTTGTGCCAGTACCATATAGTCTTGATTACTGTAGCCTTGTAGTATAGTCTGAAGTCAGGAAATCTGATTCCTCCAGCTCTTTTAATTTCCCTCAAGAGTGCTTTGGCTATTTGGGGACTTTTGTGTCTCCATACAAATTTTAAGATTTTTTTGTTCTAGTTCTGTAGAAAATGCCACTGGTAATTTGATAGGGATTGCACTGAATCTGTAGATTGCTTTGGGTAGTATAGTCATTTTCACAATATTGATTCTTCTAACCCCAGAACATGGTTTATACCTCCATCTGTTTATATCATCTTTGATTTCTTTCAGCAGTGTCTTATAGATTTCTGAGTACAGGTCTTTTACCTCCTTAGGTAGGTTCATTCCTACATATTTTATTCTTCTACATGCAATGGTGAATGGGATTGTTTCCTTAATTTCTCTTTCTGATCTTTCATTGTTAGTATAGGCATGCAAGAGATTTCTGTGCATTAATTTTGTATCCTGCAACCTTACCAAATTCATTGATTAGCTCTAGTAGTTTTCTGGTGGCATCTTTAGGATTCACTATGAATAGTATCGTGTCATTTGCAAACAGTGACAATTTTACTTCTTCTTTTCCAATTTGTATTCCTTTTATTTCTTTTCCTTCTCTGATTGCTGTGTCTAGGACTTCCAAAACTATGTTGAGTAACAGTGGTGAGAGTGGACATCCTTGTCTTGTTCCTGATCTTAGAGGAAATGCTTTTAGTTTTTCACTATTGAGAATGATATTTGCTGTTGGTTTGTCATATACAGCCTTTATTATGTTGAGGTAGATTCTCTCTATGCCCATTATTTGTAGACTTTTTATGATAAATGGGTGATGAATTTTGTCAAAAGCTTTTCCTGCATCTATTTTTATTCTACAATTTTAAAATATGGTGTATCATATAGATTGATTTGTGTATATTGAAGAATCCTTGCATCCCTGGGATAAACCCCACCTGTTCATGGTGTATGATCCTTTTAATGTGTTGTTCAATTCTGTTTCCTAGTATTTTGTTGAGGATTTTTACGTCTATATTCATCAGTGATATTGGTCTCTAATTTTCTTTTTCTGTAGTATCTTTGTTTGGTTTTGGTATCAGGGGGATGGTGGCCTCATAGAATGAGTTTGGGAGTGTTCCTTCCCCTGAAAATTTCTGAAGAGTTTGAGAAGGTTGGGTGTTAGCTCTTGTCTAAAAGTTTGATAGAATTCACCTCTGATGCTATCTGGTTCTGGACTTTTGTTAGTTGGAAGAGTTTTAATCACAGTTTCAATTTCATTACTTGTGATTGGTCTGTTCATATTTTCTATTTCTTCCTGTTTCAGTTTTGAAAGGTTATACCTTTCTAAGAATTTGTCCATTTCTTCCAGGTTGTCCATTTTATTGGCATAGAGTTGCTTGTAGTAGTCTCTTAGGATGCTTTGTATTTCTGTGGTGTCTGTTACAACTTTTCCTTTTTCATTTCTAATTTTATTGGTTTGAGTCCTCTCCCTCTTTTCCTTGAGTCTGGCTAAAGGTTTATCATTTTTGTTTATCTTCTCAAAGAACCAGCTTTCAGTTTTATTGATCTTTGCTATTGTTTTTATTTCATTTATTTCTGCTCTGATATTTATGATTTCTTTCCTTCTACTAACATTGGTTTTTGTTCTTCTTTCTCTAGTTCCTTTAGGTGTAAGTTTAGATTGTTTATTTGAGATTGTTCTTGTTTCTTGAGGTAGGCTTGTATTGCTATAAACTTCCCTCTTAGAACTGCTTTTGCTGCATCCCATAGGTTTTGGATCAACGTGTTTTTGTTGTCGTTTGTCTCTAGGTAGTTTTACATTTCCTCTTTTATTTCTTCAGTGATCTCTTGGTTATTTAGTAACGTATTGTTTGGCCTCCATGTGTTTGTGTTTTTTACGTTATTTTCCCTGTAATTGATTTCTAATCTCATAGCATTGTGGTCAGAAATGATACTAGATATGGTTTCAGTTTTCTCAACCCCAATATCCTAATATATCCAATCCTTACACCTTTCCATTTGGTGAACTATAACTTTGTTTAATGAATCTGTGATTGCCTTCCTCTGTGGAAATATATTCACTGGTATCAATTTTTAGCTAACATCTCTAAGTGATATTATAGGATATGTGTCTTTTGCTGTCTGACATAGTACAATTTACCTGATTACCTCTAGAATAATCTATGGTGCTGCAAATGGCATTGTTTCATTTTTTTCCCTAGCTAATATTCCATCTGCACATGTACCAGTTCTTCTTTGTCCACTCACCTCTTGATGGACTTTTTGGTTGCCTCCATGTCTTGGCTATTGTAATATTGCTGCAGTGTACATTTGCCTGCCTGTGTCTTTCCAATTCTGTCTTCTTATGTTATAGGCCCACTAGTGGGCCTCCTGTATCATATGGTATCTCAGGGTTTACCTTTTAAATGCACCATGATTCTGTACTCATTAGTGGCTCTTTCCAGGTTACATCCCACTTAAAGTTGAGGGTATGCATTTCTCCACAACACCTTCAGCATTTAGTGTTTGTAGTTTTCTTGCTGATGGATATTCTGACTGGTGTGAGCTGATACCTCTTTGTGGTTGAATTTGCATGTGACTCATAATCCCTTGAAATTGAGCTTTAAAGCATGTCCTTTTTATTTTTCAAACTGTGACTACAGCTTAGTTCGTCAAAGTGTTTTCTTAAAGTATGTGTCACATTTTGAAATTTATTGGCCATAACCTCCCTCAAGACATTTTGAGGGCAGGTTTCATTTACAGCCCTGCAGTACTTGTTCACATGAAGTGACCATTGGCACAGGCTTTAAAGCTGCTTTTGCAGGAAACGGCCAGAGAGCGGCAGCCTTTCTACGTACCCCACGCTGGTACTAGGGAAACAGACCTTCCTTCCAGTGGTGTTCCTCAGATATCAATTAGACTGCCATGTGCCCTGATAAACCTGCAAAAGCTTATGTCTCATTACTCATGTTTGTTTTTTTAATTCATATTTTCTAGTGGAGTAATATTGCATTGTGTACATGGACCACTTCTTCTTGGTGCATTCCTCTGTTGATGGACATTTTCGTTGCTTCCAAGTGTTGGCTATGGTAAGTATTGCTGGAGTGCAGGATTGCCAGCCTGTGCCTTTTGATTCTCATTTTCTCAGGTAATAGGCCCAGCAGTGGGTGTGACTGTTTGACTAGTAGCTCAATGTTTCCTTTTTCAAAGCACCTCCATTGTGTTTTCATTAGTGCCACTTACCACGTCCCCCTTAGAACCGAGGGTACGCATTTTTCCACAACCCCTTCATCATTTATTGTTTGCAGAATGTTTGGTCGTGGCCATTATTACTGGTGTGAGCTGATAGGATTTTGTAATTTGGATTTGCATGTCTTTAATAATTCCTAATATTCAGCATTTTCCCACACCTTTCTCTTTTCTTTAGGAAAAAAAAGTGTGAGTACAATATACCTCTTGAAATTGTCTTCTTGGAAGATTGCCCTCTTTTGAATTTTGTGGTCTATTTTCCATCCCAGGATTTTTTTTGAGAGCAGGTGTCATTTACATGCCTGCAATGAGTGTGAATATTTAGTAACCATTAGCACTGGGTTTAAAGCTGCTGTTTTGGGAAACGGCCACAAGGCGGCAGCATTTCTCCATTCCCAAATCTGGTTACTGGGCAGCAGAGGCTATCTGGAAGTCCTGTTAACAGGTTGTAAATTATAATGGAATGTGCCACGAAAAAGCCCCTGAAGTTTATGTCTCATTACTTCTTGTTCGTTGTTTTAATTGTTTTAATCGGTGTAATGATTAGAATACAGTTTGTCCTAGGTGTACACAATCAGGTTCATTCATACATCTTATATATCTATTCATGTACAGATCCATTTCCCATGTAAAGGACTACAGAGTGTTCCATAGACCTCCCTTGCTATGTGCTCGGGCTTCTTGATATATATACTTAATCTGTATATGTATAGGTATGGTAAACCTAATCTTAATTTATCCATTGCTACCACCTTTCCTTTTAGATATGCATAGTTTGTTTTTTAAGTCTGTGTGTGTCTTTCTCTGTGGAAATATGTCCATTTTTGTCAGTCGATAGGTAACACCTATAAGTGATATCATAGGATATCTGTCTTTTGCTTTACAACTTACCTCATGTTCTGTGATTATCTTTAGGCTCATCTATGATACCTCAGAGAGCAGTGTTTCATTGTTTTCCATGGCTAATATTCCATTGTGAACATGGACAGCTTCTTCTTTATCCATTCATCTGTTGATTGACATTTAGGTTGCTTCCATGTCTTGGCTATTGTGAATAAGGCTGCAGTGCAGCTTTTGCAGCCTCTGTCTTCTGGATTCTGGTCTTCTCAGGTGAGAGGCACAGTGGTGGGCCTGCTGCATCGAATGGTAGCTCAATTTTTACTTTTCAGCGCAGCTCCTTTCTGTTCTCATTATTGACTGTTACAGCTTTACATCTCACTAGCAGCTAGAGGGTACACAGTTTTCAAAAACCACTTCAGCATTTATTATTTGTAGACTTTTTGCTGATGGTCAGTCAGCCTGTGTGAGTTGAAACCTTCTTGTAGATTAGATTTGCATGAGTGTAATAATTCCTGAGGTTGAGCTTTTACCCATTTTCCTTTTTTTTAAAGACAGTGAGTAAAACTTACCTCTTCATACTATCTTCTTCAAAAATTTGCCTGTTTTGAATTTTCTTGGCCATTCCCTACCTCAGCATAATTTTTTAGGGCAGGTGTCCTTTACAGCCCTGAGTCCTTGTGAATGTTAAGTGACCACTAGCTGTGGGTTTAAAGCCGCTCTTGCGGGAAACGGCCACAAGGTGGCAGCATTTCTACATTTCCAGCTCTGGTGTTTTAGGCAACAGAGCCTTCCTGGAAATCGTGTTAGTAGGCTTCAAATTAGAGTGGAATATGCCAGCACAAACCCCCAAGAGCTTATATCTCCTTACTTGTTGTTTGTTTTTTAAATTTAATTTTTATTAGGTATCAGAGCAAATTTTATAAAAATGTTGTTCTCCTAGGTGTACAGAATCTGGTTCATCATATCAATGTATCTGTCTATTCATCTTTGGATCCTTTCCCGTGTAGGTTATTCCAGAGTTTTGAGTAGACCTCTCTTGGTGTTCCATACGTATTTTGTGATTATATATTTCATATGTGTTAGTACATGTCTGTTAACCCCCATATCGTAATTCATTTATTCCTTACACCTTTCCATTTGGTTAAACATAATTTTATTTTCTTAGTCCATGCTTTTCCTTGTCTTGGAAATAAGTACATGGGTATCAATTTTTAGGTAACACCTAGAAGTGATGTCATAGGGTATCTGTCTTTCAGTTTCTTTCTTCAAGTTGGGTGGTTATCTCTAGGTCCTTATATGGTGGTGCAAACAGCACTGTTTCATTGTTTTCCGTGGCTAATATTCCATTGTGAACATGGACCTCTTCTTTGTGCATGTTTCTGTTCATGGACATTTTGGTTTCTTCCAACTCTTGGCTATGTTAAATGTTTCTGCAGTGCAGGATTGCTAGCCTGTGTCTTTTTCATTCTAGTCTGCTCAGGTGATAGGCGCATCAAAGGACCTACCAGATCACATGGTAGCTCAATTTTTACCTTTAAACGCACCTCCATTCTGTTCTCAGTACTGACTGTTACCAGTTTACATCCCCCCAGCAGCTAGAGGGTACACAGTTCTCTCAAACCCCTTCATCATTTATTCTTTGTAGAGTTTTTGCTGATGGACAGTCTACTGGTGTGAGTTGAATCCTTTTTGTAGATTAGATTTACATGAGTCTAATAGTTCCTGAGGTTGAGCTTCTATCCATTTTCCTTTTTTTAACAAGAGAGTAAGTCAAACTTACTGCTTCATAGTACCTTCTTGAAAATTGTGCCTTTTTTGAATTTTTTTGGCTATTCCTCACCTCAGGACATGTTTTGAGGGCAGGTGTCCTTTACAGCCCTGAGTCCTTGTGAATGTTAAGTGAACATTAGCTGTGGGTTTAAAGCCGCCCTTGCGGGAAAGAGCCACAAGGCGGCAGCATTTCTACATTTCCAACTCTGGGTTTTGGAAAACAGAGCCTTCGTGGAAATCGTGTTAGTAGGCTGCAAATTAGAGTGGAATGTGTCAGGGCACACTCCCAAGAGCTTATGTCTCCTTACCTCTTGTTTGTTTTTTAAATTTAATTTTTATTTATTATCAGAGCAAATTTGATAAAAATGTTGTGTTTTTTCTAGGTGTACAGAATCTGGTTCATTATATCTATGTATCTATCTATTCATCTTTGGTTGCTTTCCCATGTAGGTTATTACAGAGTGATGAGCTCAATTTTTAACTTTAAACGCACCGCCATTCTCTTCTCACTACTGGCTATTAACAGTTTATGTCCCACCAGCAGCTAGAAGGTACACAGTTCTCTAAAACCCTTTCAGCATTTATGTTTTGTAGACTATTTTGCTGATGATCATTCTGACGGTGGTATGGTGAACGTTTTTGTAGATTGGATTTTCATGGCTTTATTAGTTCCTGATATTGAGCATTATTCCATGCATTTTTTTAAACAAAAATAAAGAAAAGACAAAATGTGTGCAAAATATGGCTCTTGACATTGTCTTTTTGAAATGCTGACGTCTTTTGAATTTTCTGGTCCATTTACAACCCCAGAAATTTTTTGAGGCCTGGTGTCCTTTACAGTCCTGCACATATTTTGAATATTAAGTGACCATTAGCGCTTGGTTTAAACCTGCTGTTGTGTGAAACAGCCACAAGGCGGCAGCATTTCTCCTTTACCAAATCTGGTTACCAGGGCAACAGAACCTTAATGGAAGTCCTGTTCTAGGTTGAAAATTAGAATGGAATGTGCCAGGAAAAATTCCATGAAGTTTACGTCTCATTATTTTTTGTTCATATTTTTAATTTAATTTTAATTTTTTATCGCAGCAAATTGGATTACAATGTTTTGTTTGTTCTAGCTGTGCAAGATGTGGTTCTTTTACACATATACATGTATCTATTCTTCTTCGGATCCTTTTCCCATGTAGGTTATGACACAATGTTGAGTAGTCTTCTCTTGGTATTCCATAGGTCTTTGGTGATTATATATTTCACATGTGTTTGTAATATCTCTGTTAACCCCAATATCGTAATGTATCCAATCCTGACACCTTTCGATTTGGGGAACCATAAGTTTGTTTAATGAATCTGTGACTGCCTTTCTCTGTGGAAATATCTTCGTTGTTATCAATTTTTAGGTAACACCTATAAGTGATACCATATGTTAGGTGTCTCACTTTCTCGCTTACTACAGGTTGTGTGATTACCTCTAGACTCATCTATGGTGCTGCAAATGACATTGCTTCATTTTTTCCTGAGCTAATATTCCATCTCTACATGTAGCAGTTCTTCTTTGTCCACTCATCTGTTGATGGACTTTGGGTTGCTTCCACATCTTGGCTATTGTAATACTGCTGCAGTGCAGATTTGCCTGC